CGAGATATATACGCTCATAGCCTGGGAATTTATTTTTCGTTCGAACATAAAAATAAATTTTGAGCTGCGCTATGTGTTTTATTTTCTCCTATGAACCTGGCATTGTAAAATCTGAACAATCTACGAAGAAACACAACTCTTTTAGCCCCGGTCATGCCTTTAGTGGCCAAAACCCGGACACTCACAGACGTCGCGATGTAATGTCGTGCGCACATACTACCAACAATGATGCGCAGTAGTAACTACTTGATTTTGTTCAGTAGTGACTACATAAATTACCAATATGATTGTCAGTTGATCTATGCTTTAAGGATATTTTTCTTCGCAGGTAAGAACGAAATTATGTTTTTTCTCGTGAAAAGCTGCACATTCCAGCAGCAATGAGAAATCTTACATATGGCATGCAACAAGATGCTGAATTGCTGTCTGGGTTTAAACGTTCTTAGTGACAAATAACGCTAAATAAAAGTAATAACGTTTCTAATTTCCATCACGAAAAAAAAATTAAGACGAGCGTGAACGTGACTAACGAGACACAATTTCACGCTCTGCAAAGTACAAATGAGAAACACCATAATTCCATCCAATTATAACATAAAATGTATGCGTCGTCATGGCAGCATACCAGTTTTATGTTAAACGTGAAAGTTCAGGTGTCAAATAGGATATGAGTGTCGAAATATTCTTGCATATTCTTTGTGCATCATTGAGAGAGTTAATTAATTAGTCACAAGTCTATGCACGTAATCACATGGCATTGTGGGTTTTGGTTGCCATAGAGCCCCGCAACTGGTCTTAGTTTAAGTCTAATAAGCTACATAATTGAAATTCGCCTAAAAATAATTAACTATGCACTATAAGCTTAGTAAGAAGCGCCTCCTTAACCACGACGCATAATAGCGCAGTCAAAAATCACTCAATTAATTTCCAGTATCATTCATAGCACCGCGGTAATCAGTAAAGTAATGTATTGGAGAAGAAAACAAACATATTTGATTGGAGAAGAAAACATACATATTTTGATTGGAGAAGAAAACAGACATATTTTGATTGGAGAGAAAACCCGATATTCATATTTTTTGCTGATGAAGAAGATTGTTGAAATCGGATTGTATCCGTACGTTTCCGATGCTCTGCATAACAAAGTGGGTTTCCTCAACAGAAAGGACAACTCTTTGTCGAAATGCTGCAAAATTTAGTATTAATATATTGACTTCAATTTGCATTGACAATGCGCCAATTTATAATTTACCGGTAAAACTCCCAATACGACGACGTTGACCCGTTCAATCAATTTGATGTCAATTCCAGTTGGTCGATTTCACCACCTTCACCTGGAAACATGCACAGTAATGGAGCAGAACGAACTAGGAACGAACCTAACATTCACTATTAGTGTTGAAGCCAGCGGGTGACACCATACCCTCTCGGTATCACCAAACAAGCAACATCACTTTCGCTATCGATCTTTATTACACCACTGAATCCATCTTGATGTTTGAGATTAACAAACTGAAAGAATCATTTCGCTATGATATATTTGTTTATACGGGTTGTATCGACCACCTGATGCTTTAAGTTACAGCGCCCTCATATAACTGATATAACCAAGTGGAAGTGCTGATGTCATCAAAGTTGAATGTTATCGTACATACTAAAATGTAACACTGAGTAAAGTGATCTGTCACATATATATATAAGTGAAAAGTTGTATCTGTTATTAATTTTAGACGCACACCGTAATTTAGTAAAATATCTAAACAATACGCCAGGTGTGTCCATAGCCTCCCAACACTTAATTCTTGTGATTTGGAACAACGCCGAATATCACATGAATGCTACGTCTGTGGTTAGGTTAGGGGGTAACCATTAGAAAGTCTGTGAATGGGGTGTTAGATTGGAACGTTTTTGGAAAACTAAATTCTACAGCGAAAATGACAGAAAAAAATGTCCGTATAAATCATAGACATACACATTTGATAAAAGAAATCAACAATATATATCAATATCATCCTGTAAAATCTTAAACTAAGAAATGAAAAAAGTAATTGTGACAGTTTTTAGCATCTCCCTGCCAGTGTCAGAATGAAATATGGACATGATAACATGGTGACGCTGGTGGCGCTGTTGTTCAGGAGTCCGTTCTCAATGTTTTAAAAATTTTAAAAAAAAACTCAGTTCAGTTATAATGAAATCGTTTGATGGAATGCAACACTTAAATATTCAATATAATTAAGTATTATCGACATTATTGTTTATTTAGATGACATTTAGGAATTCTAACACTAGATAGACAATTCCCTATCACTTTGTTGAACAATATCATATTTATGTAATAGACACTGGCCGATTTTCAACAGCTATTTTAGTAATACATGTAAATTATTAATTAATTAATTAAGTAAGTAAGTAATTGTTATTGCTATAAAGATTACATTTTAAGGGCGACAGGCGACACCATCATTGATAGCCTTTCATCTCCACAGAGTTACTATGAGAATACTATAGTGGATCTGTACAATATAACCATGGCAACATAACGAGCACCGTTACCAATCCATCATGCTTATCGATACGCTTCCTCAAATATGTAAGGATGTCAAGGTACACGTATATAAAAAGGCCTGTGCTATTAAATTGAATAAAATATCCTTTCGATAAGTTTCTGAAAAGGATATTGTTATTCAATTCTAACAACCCCACACCGAACATACAACCACTGATTTTGACTTCTTGATACAGTACTGCATGCAGAGAAAGCTGTTGCAACTTTTTGTTTGCCACAATACATAATGTACTAGACTAATTACTACGTGAAAATTAAACAATTGCCATTTATTATATAAATTGAAGATACATACACATGTATCAGTGTCATCAACATAGTATTTACATTATTAACATATTCACGCTTAACGGCAGTTAAAAACGATTCAAATACTTCATGAAAATATTGGACAGAAGGAATCAACAATGACAACAGAACAAATCAGAATGCAGGAAATAGAAATACGAACGTACAGATTATTTAAAAAAAGAGTTCCTACTTAATTGTTTCAGAAAATATTGCTTTTCGTGATTCTCATACCAGATTCCGATTAAGCATATACCTTACTATAGTACTAACATTGTATGGCATATAGATTAAGTAACCACTCAGTGAAAAATCGAATGTGGTCGCCATTCCAATGTGCCAGTCGTTGAAAGAATTTGTGAATACTGTCACAGCAATGGCACATTGAAGATGAGCAACATTTTGTAATGGTTTGTACACTTTACCAAACAAAAATGCTGGAAAAAAATCAATGATAAATTTTATTAAATTGAAAATAAATTTCAATACGTAATGGCCAACAATGACGTAATGGGCAGCGATGACGTAATTGACACCAATGACAATACCTCTTGCATAATTTATAACATTAAGTATGCCTGAAACAAAGACAGCAACACACAACCTAACTGGTTTGCCTACTTGTATTTACAGGTTTGAAGAACCTCTTGTCTGCGGGTGTAATTGGTCTAGTATCTAACTCGAGGAAAAAATAATTTTCCTGTACGTGTCTAATATCTAGAATATGTTTCAAATCCAAAACCTTTACTTCTGTAAACGCATTAATCATTCGCTAATCCACTAAATTAAATCGACTTGAACATGTAAATTAACAATAGAACTTATTGTTTCTTTGTCAAGTTCGTGTGCGACATTTGTGTTGATAAACATTGATTTTCCCACAATCCAATGCGCTCTTCTAATGGAAATCACAAGTATGAGGTTTGACCTGGGCGCGACTTGCACTAGCTACTACCGGTGACTTTTTCGGTACCTTTAAATCACCTAAAAAATACCTAAATATACCTGAAATACCAAAAGTCAAAGTCGCCATCTTATTTATATAAGACCCATATACTCGTATCTCGCGCATGCGTGACGTGACGACTACCGCCTTTTAAAACCCAGTGAAATTACTCAAAACTTGAAAATAGTGAAATTAAATGCCAGTAAAAATAAATGGTTTCACAGTAAATAGATTCTATGTTTATTTTCCCCAGATTTTGTGTTACTGTTACCATGTACTATCGTTTGTCAATTGGAATCAATTGTCATTTTTTCTGATATAAATTAAAAAATTAAAAAAACTGAATTGTTGTTGGTAGTGCATATAACATCTAAAATAATAATATTCACTAATAAGCTTCATAATCACTGACTGTTCATTTTGAACATTTTGCAAGTTATATACTGATTTTAATAAATAATTATTCAAGAAGTGTACGTAATAAGCCTGTACCAATTCCTAAGCTTGTGTTTATATGCAACTTCTACTTTACCACATATCGGAATATCGGATTGCGCAAATGACACCAGACAGCTGATCTAACGTTTAATTAGTGTGGAACAATTTCGAAAGGCTATTAGTTACAATTACAAATGCTAAGTCCACATAATGATGAGTGCTTTGTGCAATCATAATAATTAAAGGAGCCCTGGTAGACAACTTGAACATAATGATCCCAGAGAAAGTGCTCCATAAATATAGAAATGCAATTTACATGTTTTAATATCTTTTTAATTCACTGTAAATTGCATTCTTCTACATTTATAGAGCACTTTCATCCTGGATCATTATGTTGTCTCGTAACAGATAATTCTCGACCGCGGTCTGGCGTCATACTATTCAACTTCGCAATGGAATGCGTCAAGAAAATTTTAAAGCGAAGTGAAACAGAGGAGTAATAGGGAATTCCGTTGGCGGAGCACGAGTGACTTACTCCGCGCAAAGTTTGTACATTCAAATTTTGGTATTTGAAAACACATGCGTTTGTTTATATTTTTTTTTAGAAATTTTGTGATCTGACGTTTATGCGCGATTTCCTAGTACATGTATTAATATTGCGTGTTACACGACAAGCGGATGTCCGGCGGTCGAGAATATATAAAGAGCCAGGGAGTCTTTGTTTATCCAATATAACTAAGTTGAGGGCTCTTTCAATTTCCGCGACATGGAAAGTGCGGAAGTAGAAGTACGTTTATTGTTTTTCGCCAAAAGTCGAGAATTAGTTGGAAGGAAGGAGGATACGATCAAATTACCAATTCATCTACTGCCAGCAGGTCTCTGGGAAGGCATACTAGCTAAACATCCGTGGTAATTATCAAATTATGTTGTAAAACCGCCTATTGCTGACACGATTAGCAGACGATCTCTTATATTTGCTGTTGTCGGCTTTTGCGTGTCTGGTGTGTGTATCGTCTTCGAAGACCGGTTTGACTGAATTGTAGTATTGGCCGCAAGCCAGTGTACATGGGACAAACTGAGTTGCTCAAATTGCAGCAAAGTCACTGTTGCTACACGATGCTGTGCACTGGATCTCAAATATAAACTATAGAGGTCACGTGTACTTGCACAATTTTGTTTTCAAGTAAGGGGAACGAAATGAAATATAGGTGCCTCCAAAACACAACCTAACTTGAAAGCTACTGTCTTTCTACATTTTTGTGGATTTTCAGGGCCAAAAAGAATACCAGCCGGTATTTCATTAAGAGTGTGTGGTCATTTGCTGGCTACCGAATTATTTCTACATACCTGTATATATTGGATATAATTTTAACATCCACCACTAAATCACTTAGATGGCATTTTGCATTATAACATTTTATCGTGATTTATGTGGTAAATAAAAAAATAAAAACTTACAGGGCTGCATTAAATTGCTGTATGGGATGGATTATATTATATACAATCATGTTTTGTTTCTGTTCGCAGTAATCATTAATTCTGTAGACGCTGTTTTTATTTTGCCCTTATGAATATACTTGTATGACTCATTAACTATGGGTTCATCCCCCAAGTTTTAAGTGATTCAGCTCTAAGATGTATAGTGATCAAAGCTACACTGGCTGGGATCTAATTTAAAGTGGCATATAAGCTGTGTGTATATTAACCAAATATATGTTATGAAATATAGCATACATTTATAATAATACCATGTAGATAGGTGGGAAATTAATTTTTTGTGGATCAAAAATCCTATTTTTTTCAGCAGTCTAGATGCTGTTGTTATATGCTTATAGTATCCCAGCACTTTACCTATATATATTCATTTAGTACTACTAGGGTTAGTGGTCATCATGCATCAGAAATTCAAAGCTGCATTCCTACTTTCCAAATTCGTGAAGTACATATACACCATCAAATGTTGAAATTGTAGATGCGAAATAATAATAATAATAATAATAATAACTTTATTGCATCCTTAGAAATACAATGTTTCTATCAGTTAATAGCAATAAAGATTAGTTGTGATAACTACTACTACAAAAAGAAAGTTAGTTGTTGATAGGATAAAGCAAGTGTTACATATGAAATGGCATTTTCATTTCTTGATTGAAATGCGTTATGAATATAGTTGCCAATCTTTTTTATTATTACATCATCTTTTGAAGTCATCAAGAAATTAAATTTCTGGAGATCATCCTGTGTTTGAATTTAATATGAATTGAACCCTTCTAGGGACATAATTTTACTCATCAACATTTTAGTGCAACATTTTATCTGTTTTTCTATTTTTTGTTGTTGACCAAACAGATATATATATATTGTCGACTAGAAGTCTTGATCAAAAATTTTGAAAAATTATGATGAAATTATGTCGGTTTAAAAGCTCTGAATGGTGATAAAAGATGAGTTTGGTGTTAAAAAGATTAAGGGTTCCACTAAATTAAGCTAGATTTGTAAACAATATACATTCACTGAGTTAGGAGGCTTTGTTTAACCTTAAGGTACATAAGTAAGTAAAGTATTGTAGGTATGTTTGTCAAATGGAATAAGACTCTCCAGCACCCTCAAAATGTAGATGGGAAAGCGAGTGCAAAATATCTACTTTTAATAAATCATATTTTTGAACTAAAATAGCATCATCTGAACACATTTTATTTTGTCAGCTTGTTCTATGAGTAATGTTTTACATAATAGCAGTGAAGGTGCAATTTGTAATAATGTACTGGGTACATGTTGAATGCACTGCATGGGACTGAAGACCACACCTTTTTTTAATCTGAATGTATCACATGGGACAGAGGGATTGGTGCACTGATATATGTGTAGTATTTGTGTGCTACAACTTCTGCTGGTATGTACAAAAGCACCTAAAACCATTCAATATTTTAGAATTTCTGTGGTGAATTTTCAGTGGTACATGATTCAAATACCTTGTCATATGTGAAAATTTAAATTTAAACTATATCATAGGAGTTATTAGTTTTGAAGCTACTTTAATTTAAACTGATCCTCTTAGTGAGTCCCCAGAAATATTTACAAGTACTAGACAATCTATTGTTGTATATACTGTTGGTTGTCATTTTTAAAAATACCTTTATCTATTTATATAGACTATCCCTCAACACCAGTGCCATATACTGTTTAAAATATTGTATCAATATTTTGTCAAAAGCTATGTTTAGAAATCTGTATGAGAACATTCTTCATATTGAAGAATACTTGTCATAAATATAACATGCTATTTCTGTGCTCAAGGGAGTTTAAAGTGAGATTTTTGTGCTTACTAGAGAGTTCAAAGTGAGATTTATGTGGTAACTAGGGAGTTCATGCTCAATTTGTATGTACACTAGGGAGTTCTAACAGTTTATCGTGCATATTGAATATGGGCAGTTAAACAGATTATAAACACACAAGGGTCAGGTCCAAACAGTGAGATTTTTGTACACATTAGGGAAGCAGATGAGCTACACTATCCAGAAAAATTAAAGTGTGAATTCTGTGCTTACTAGGGAAATTAACATGGGATTTGTATGCTGACTAGGGAGTCCAAACTGTGATTTGTGGTCAGATTAATAACTGTTTTATATGATAAATGATATGAATAAATTTGGATTGCTATTTTTATGTGTCCATAGATTCTTTTATCCACCGACAGTGATCACCCCTCCATACTCCCTTTAATGAATGATTGAATAATATATTGTTTATTTCAGTCTTCAACCTATCAGTGATAATATCACAATTGCATTGAACCAAGAATACATAGCAAGAGAAGAAACAGAACCAATTGTACTCAAAGAAGGTGATGAAATAGCGATCATACCACCACTCAGTGGAGGATAGAAACAACAAACACATAAAGGTACACCTCACATTATTATTATACATTACAAAAAATAATTAGTGTACCAATAATAAACCCAAATTTAAAATATATTTTTTAAGAGCTAAAAAGTGCACAATCAACATATATTTTCACATCAGGTGTCACATTTTAAGTAGCAGCTACCGTACATCAAAACAGTGCAAGAAATTTATGTGTTTGCATTGCGGGGACCAAAGCTTCTATTAAATTCAAATTAATATTGTTTTCCTTGAGAGAGCATATGTAAAAAATAATGCTATATATATATATTAACTTAACATGATTGAGGCTGTATTGTTAAAAATTGCTGTTTTTATGAAGTTTGGTGATGAATCCCCTTAGATCTGTGTTTGTACAGCTTCTTGATTGTACATCAAGGCTATCTGTAATGTAAGGCGCATGAAAACAAATATCAAAATACCACATTAAAGAGGTACAGCTTTATTTCAAGTACCATAACAAATACCTGTCTTTAAAAGTGTATTTGCTTTCCTGTAACATTCAGTTTTTCTAATTAACAGAACTCGTACCATTACAGCTGTCTATAGTTACAAAGGCTTCTGAGCAAAATATTCAGCTGCTTTCTGGTCAAAGCAATAATTAATTGAGAATTTGTGTGCCATAGTTTTTTTTCAGGTTTTTCTTCAAAAAATTTAATTTTCAGGATAAATCAAGGATTTTTAAGACAATTTAAAAAAACAATGCATTGTGGGTTTGATATGTTAGACGGAACAGTTATATGTATGAAATTAGCTGTCTCACTGATTATACATGTTCTAATCGATGCACTCGGATAGTTAAGTGGATTTACATTTACATCTAGGGTTTTAGAACATTTCAAAAGCACTCTGACAAATATTGTCAAAGTTGTTAGCTTAAAAGGCTTTATCTCAACGCGGTCATCAGAATTTGAATGGTACTTGTATTCTCACATTCAAATTATCTCTTGTATGTAGATCACCATGGCAACAAGGTGGATGTAAAATCCTGTTTTTTTTTCGCAAAAATAACCTTTATTAGTGATTAAACCTGTCACAAGTAAACATCAAGGTGTCAAGATTTCAATGTCAGGAAATTTTAGTTTTTATTGACAAAATTATTACCAGAAAAGGTACTTGTGTTGGCAATTTATTTAAGTGTTTTTGAATATGTGATGCATTTATTATAGTGATTGATTGTTGTGAAGTTTATAAATGGTTATTGTGATGATTACTATTGAAATATGCTAGAAGTGACAGTAACATGTTGTACTGATTCACTATGTAACATAATTTAAAACAATCTTTATATTGGGTTTAGTATTTAAATTGTGCATTAAAATAGCTTGTACGGTAATATGCCTATTGTCTTCAATAATGTAGTAATAAAGACAAACACTAAATACACTTGCAAAATTAGCATATTAATGTGGGCATTGCCTAAAATTTTGCATTTGTATTGTTGGCACAATGACTAATAGTACTAATTATGAAGATAACTTAAAAGTAATAATAATAATATCAGTAATAATTTAGTATCCCCTTGGTTTGCAGGAGCATTACCCGTAGACCATGACCACTACAGTGCATGACAAAACCATGATCTATGCCCCAGGACATAGTCCAAACTGTGGTCCATGGCCATACCATAAACCATGGCCAAACAGTAGTCTATGACTAAACCCACAGTCCATGACTAAACCCATAGTTCACGACTAAACCCATAATCCACGACTAAACCATAGTCCATGACTAAACCATAGTCCATGACTAAACCATAGTCCATGACTAAACCCATAGTCCATGACTAAACCCATAGTCCATGACTAAACCCATAGTCCACGACTAAACCCATAGTCCACGACTAAACCCATAGTCCACGACTATACCCATAGTCCACGACTAAACCCATAGTCCACGACTAAACCCATAGCCATGACTAAACCCATAGTCCACGACTAAACCCATAATCCACGACTAAACCCATAGTCCATGACTAAACCATAGTCCATGACTAAAACATAGTCCATGACTAAACCCATAGTTCACGACTAAACCCATAGTCCATGACTAAACCCATAGTCCACGACTAAACCCATAATCCACGACTAAACCCATAGTCCATGACTAAACCATAGTCCATGACTAAACCCATAGTCCACGACTAAACCCATAGTCCACGACTAAACCCATAGTCGATGACTAAACCATAGTCCATGACTAAACCCATAGTCCACGACTAAACCCATAGTCCACGACTAAACCCATAGCCATGACTAAACCCATAGCCATGACTAAACCATAGTCCATGACTAAACCATAGTCCATGACTAAACCCATAGTCCATGACTAAACCCATAGCCATGACTAAACCCATAGCCATGACTAAACCCATAGCCATGACTAAACCCATACTCCATGACTAAACCATAGTCCATGACTAAACCCATAGTCCATGACTAAACCCATAGTCCATGACTAAACCCATACTCCATGACTAAACCATAGTCCATGACTAAACCCATAGTCCATGACTAAACCCATAGCCATGACTAAACCCATAGCCATGACTAAACCCATACTCCATGACTAAACCATAGTCCATGACAAAAACATGACTAAACTCTACTCTAGTATGAGTACACTGCACTTCATAGTAATACACATTTTCAACAAATCTTTTTATTTATATTCAAATAGAAAACTTTGAATAAAAGCAAATAAAAGAAGGAAGAGAACCAAATGTTTCAATGTATGTGGCAGTAATTGCCTACAATTCTTTTACATCAAGATATATTTAACGAGAATTTAGATCTTTAGAAGCACTAGATACAATACCCAGATGTGTACTTTATCCATAATGGATATTTTTTGAGATTAAAAATTTTAAATTACCACTTTTATCATTTTTAGGAATATCAGTCTGTGAGCATCGGCCAATTACTGGATGCAGGCATCTATTTTGGGATTCATGGAGATCACCAAGACATGCTAAATGAGGAAACAAAAGGAAATTTAGGGATTGACCATTTTTTTTTACTTCACATTTGTTTTTTCAGAATAACAGTAGTTGTAAAGCCTATTTTTCTGTAATTTCCTCTGCAGATATTTGTTTTTCAAAGTTCTCTTGGCATTTCTTTTTTCCTTCTGTCCAACCCTCCTTTATGTCTCCAACCTTGATCTGAATCAGTGACAGATGGGTCGTACCATTACCAGCCTCAGTGGGAAATGTTGAGGGGTGTCAGGGCTACATTTTGATGGGAATTATAGTGGTGATACTGAAACAAACCCAGGTTCTGGTAATATACAAAGACCTGAATTAACAAAGAAGTCAAGTTGTTATTAAAGGTACATCAAGGTTTACTCAGATTTATGAATGCAGTTTCTTGAGCATGTATGAGACATAGTTTGGTTGCACTTGTGTACTCTGAGATTTTGGACCCAGGTCAATGAAAGTTTTTAGTTATCAGATTAAGGGAAATCACTTTATGATGAGTTGTACTCACATAGAGTACATATTAATTCAATTGTTTGCAGATGTTCCATGTATTATTTTAACATGAGTATTTTATAATTAAATAATGGGGACTATGATATTCAAGTCTTGTAATGTGTATTCTGTCATTTGGTTTTGCTATCAATTTTGGTCATTGACTAAGGTTTTACTGTACTTTTCAATATTTTACTTTATCTTTAAAAATGGATTGAAGTGATCACAATTTATTCCAATCGTGTCCTGTCACAAGATCACAGGGCCGGGTCATATTTTTACCACCTCGTGTGTGTGTAGGAATGTTCGGTACCTGATATTTCACGATGTGCGTCAAATCATAGCAATTCTGCATGGAGTTGGTTGCCCCAATGAACATTACATAGCCAGTGACTGGAGTTCACAAATAAAGTATCATAGCTTCATGCTTCCTTCGCAGTTGAATTCAGACTTCTGAGACTTTGATGTTAAATGCCAGGTTCGGCTATGCTAGTATGTGGACTTGCTTTGTTGGGGAAATCTCAAGCAGCAAACCTAGTTTAAAATACCATGACGTCACACAGTTTATTGTGTCAATCATTAATTGGCCCACGACACCTGTTCATTCATAACTTGGATACTCATCCAATAAAGATATCTGTTCGTGTTGTGTAAAATGTGTTTTTTACAAATGAAGTCACTAAACATGTAATGTGGTTGTGAGTCAGTTGAAAAATGTGCATTTTTCAGTGTTCTTGGTCATAACTTTAAAAAAATTAAATGAAATAATCCAATTTTCATTATAAAATCAAAATAAAAGTACAATTTCAGTGACAGTTTAAAAATAAATTTAAATATTTTTTTTTTTTTTTTTGGCAAACAAGATTTGATCAAAACTTTTAAAGAATGTTGTCAAAATTTGCAGATAATAAATACAATACATAATTTTTCATTCACAGCAAGATCTTGCATATTGCATGAAGGGCGCGAACCGAAATTCTCCTGCAAAAATCAAATGTTTTTAATTTGAATTTAATTTGTTTTTATAGCTTAATATTGAAACATGGATTTTTCAGAGGGGAATATGGCGTTTAGATAAGATATCCGTACTGATTTATTGGCACCATATCAGTTATGGTGAGAAATTGTGAATATAAATGGTTGAATAGGTGATTTTCTGTGTAATGCATGCATGACACTGATCAAGTGTTGCTGTAAAAACAGATTTCAGAGTGAGAGATATTTCGTTGAGATATAAATGCTTCATCAAAATTGACCATCATCAAATGTGTAGATCACATTATTAAGCATGGAAATGAATCCGATGCGATGTTTTGTTGCTACTACAATACAACCTTTTTACATTCGATTCTCACATAACACAGAATCTGCTTTGTGGATGGTAACAACATTTGACAGTGGAGGACATAGGTGATGACTATAATGATTTATTTCTATTTTTGTTGAATAGCTACAGCTATGAGTGGTGAAGACGTGGTTGCAATAACACCTGATAAACTGAATGTGGAAGAAATTACAGAGATGGTAAAATGTCCACAGGCTGGTGCTGTCACTGTTTTTCTTGGTAAGAATCTTATCAAAAGACAATTGACAAAGAAATGGGAAAATATTAAAATATTGCAGCAAATTATTGGTGTTCTAAAAATATAATCCTCTACAAATTTAGTCGTGGTTGATAGAATTATTAGCATATCATTCTCTATGTATCTCAGATCTCTTGTCACATTTGGCACTATTAGGTAATCTACATATTCCCAATAAAGTAGGTCCGGGAAGCAGAATCGCTGGTATAAACAAAAGCCTGCTCAGTCTACTACATTTCACCCCTTTCATAGAATGGTACAACCCATGCACTGTTTAATATTTATGTTACAATGAGATACCATGATACTAATTCACATGATAGTCCTCTCCTTCCATGCACTTTTCCATGTTGCAGGAAAAAAGATATTAGCTAGATGCCAGTTTGCTATTTTAAAAAGACGGATAAAATCTGCCCTATGTTGTATGAAGTATTGGGTAATTTGGCTAACATTCCCTTTCATACACATCTGTTGTCTGAAATTGACATTTCCACATATCTTTTGAATTATCTCAGTACTGATAAAACAGAGATTGTAAAGCACTCCAGTATCAAGGTAATCTTTCTGAGAAATTTTCTGTCTCTCACCAATTTGTGATGTAATTAAAATGACTTTGAAGTGCGTCATTGCTATGGTGATGATTTATATGAGTGCACATATTGAAGTAATGGCAGACATTTAGCTGAAAGCACATTTACTTACGCTAACAGTGATAGATAACTGCTTTTTCAATATCCAGAATTCTCCTCTTCAATACTACCGTATTCACCAAAGGTGGTTTTAGTTTTTTTTATTTGTCTCTCACTAAACTGCCTGAAGTAAAGTTGTTACCGCAGACTGATTGTGTTGTGATAAGAACACCTTTATGGAGGGATAACACAATACACAGTCCCTCCACAAGGGACTGTGGAGGGACTGTACGCAATATTATCTGCACATCCAGAATTAGAAAAATACCAACAAATTGCAAAGACAAAAAAAGATGGACTAGAATCCGACATGAATAAACGTAAAACATTGTATATTCACGACATAAAACAGGTAGTATGCAAAACTAAAATGCATGTACGCAAAAGGGCATAAAAACTGAATTACTGTAAACTACTTTATTTTAGCTGGAATTAATTTTCACTGAAAAGACTTTTTGGGGTGTTTTGTATGGAATTTATTTTCACTGATTTTTGACGAGTTGAATGTAAAATACCGATATAGGAAAAAAGGTATATTCTCTTGATTTTATTTTTACTGAAACCACAGTCACTCTACTAGTAGAGTGACTGTGCTGAAACATTCTTTCAGCAAAAATAGCGAAAATAAAGTATTTTTAGCTTCGCTGTTGACAAATTTGACACAGTGGGGCTGTTCATATTACTGATTGTTCGTCGTCTGTCATCCGGCATCGTCAACTTCACAATTTCAACTTCTTCTTCGAAACCGCAAGTCAGAATGTTTTCAAATTTGATATTGCTTTGATATTACATATATATGTACTACATGTAGACCTCTCTCAGATTTGTTTATTTTGTGATGATATCTTTAATTCTCTAATTTTGATGAATATTTTTGTAATTTTTGGTAAAAAGTGATATTTTCGACTTCTTGTTAAAAACCACAAGTCTGATTACTTTGATATTACATATATAGGTACTATATGTAGACCTCTCTCAGATTTGTTTATTTCATGATGATATCTTCAATTATCTATTTTTAATGAATATTTTTGTCATTTTTGGAAAAAAGTGATATTTTTGTTAAAAACAGCAATTCTGATTGCTTTGACACAATGTACTATACATATTATTCATTTTCTAATGATATTTTCTGTTTTTAATTGGAATGTGCATTGCTAACAGCGGAGCTATCTCAGCCAACAGTCTGTTTGTTTTATTATTATCACCAGTTTTTTTAATTGAAGTTTGTTGTGTTTTAGATAGTAATTTTTGTAAAATTTGTATTTTTTTTAAAATATGTGTTCTAGTAGTTAGTTTAATCATTTTAATTCCTTCTGTGGAATTTTAAGCTTTTCAATAAACATATGAACAAAAAGTGTCAACCCCTTAAGTTTGTGAAAAATCACAAGAAGATATAAAACACCTGATGCAGCAATCAAAACATACTGTGTGTGTGAGTTGTAATAGCAAGAGCTATTTTTAGATGATTGCAATTATAGGTTTAGAGAAGGAAATGTAGCTGCTCCTAAAATTCTTATATGCAGCTCTCATGTAACATCACGTTCTCATTTAGATTCTCACAGTAGTCAAACTGTGAGACTTGTACTGATGATGTCTTTGGTTATCATGGCAACAAGTCACATTGTCTATACAACGATATCACATGTGAAAGCTAGTTTATCCTGATCTGAATTTATTTAGGTGGCTGACAGAATGGCTATGCAATGTGAATTTCAATGTGTCTTTTTATTGTTCATGTCATCTTAGTCAATCCTAAAGAAATAATGAGATTAAAAACAACATGTACAGTACCTAATGCCAGCTGCTGGTTTTCTTGCGTTAAGGGTAGCATGTGGTACAAAATCTGTTTATATTCTGTCCTAATTCTTTAAATTAAATGGATTCATTCCTCATACATTTTAGATATAGGATGATCTTTTTTGCTTTGATGTAAATGTCAGCTAGTCAAGAATGCATAATTCAGCTATTTTTTGAAAAATAGGTCAGAAAATATAAACATCAACTAGTCATGTATATTTTATGTGCTGATTTCAGTTTTATATGCTCAGTTAAAATAGCTACAAATTTTGCATTCATTTTGGTGCCCTACAATAAAACATGTAATCAATTTTAAATATTGATTGATGGAACTCCAGAAAGATCCTTTTCTCACAAAATTGAGTTTTCTTGCCATTTATATAACTTTAGAAAACACCTGTCATATTCCTTTTCTGTTTTCTAGAAGAGAT